GTCCAACAGGGAAGGTCCACGATACTCCACATCTAGAATCCGCTTAGGCGAAGTAACCATTTGTGTCGGACCATATACCAAGGCAAAGTCATAAACAGATCTTCCCGCATGATCGGTTAAACGAGAACCAAGCCATTCAGCGCGGTGGCCGTTAAAATCACAATCTCTCCAGATGGGATCTGTTGTAGCACGGAGTCTGCAGCGATTTGATTAGGCAGTCGATGAGTTTGTCTGTATCGACATTATATATAGAGGCACCCGCAGATGCGAGGATTGTCGTCGCTGACCTTCAAGACTGCCGAAGCGGCGAGAACAGATGTCTATGTGTGTTCTAATTTTTACCCCGAATTGGAGAGATGTATCGACTGGAGAGGACACCTGCGTCTCGGTTCGAAAGAGCAAGGTCAGCTTCGCCGTCTTCAGATGCTACCTAGTGGACTTCGTTAACGTTCGAATGAAATCCCCTGGTGTTGCAGAAATTCACGGATACCGTGGCAGGGGTCACCTTTGTCTTATTGCTCTACTTGCCACGAGCAGCCCCCCCCTCCCCAGCATACACCAGGCATCCTGAGCAGTAGCATGGACGTGGATGCTCAATCAGGGGTTCTCCAATACCACGGGTGCTGGTATCCTCCTAGGATGGATTCTTATTTAATTACATTACCATGTTAAGAGGGAGAGGGGTTAGGCCTCCAACCACCTGCACTTACCAGGCGAAGTAAACTTCTACTTCTCGCTGGTTATCTGTAAAGTCGTGGTACCTCCTCGGTTCGAGCCGGTCCACCCATTTATTACAGCTCTTCATTTCATATCTTACCAGGTCTTCACTCCTATCTAGTCTTCCCCACCCGTGCGACAGCAAAAGCTGCTATGTGGCTCTTCAACTGTTATGTTGTCTGCCTATATTATTAACTGTAATCTATTTCGTCATTGATTATGCGTTACACATAATGCTTATTAGTAAGTAGCTTTGCTTTATTATACTCTATAGTGGGCGACAAGGAGCTGGAGATGAAGTAGTTTTGCACCTTTAAAGTATTTAGTTTAGTTTAAATAGGGCCCCAATTTCATTTTTGCCCCGGGGCCCTTGGTTACACTACGCCACTAGTCACAGCAACCACTTATCATCAGATGGACTGTGTGCTCGTTTGTCACCCTATCTTATAAAAAAACGCGTAATATCTTGGAATAGATTTGTCTCCTTTTGCCTTATTTGAAAATTAAATTAGAAAAAGCGAAAAGTTATTTTGTCTTCATACAGGTAGAATTGTAGATTCCCTTCAAGCATACATGTTATGTATAAGCATTTTAGTGTTGCTAGTTCTAAAAATTTATTAGTGATTTTTTTACATTAATGCCTCGTCACATCGGCCTATGATATTGAGCAAATAGAATAGAGTGGATTTGTGCTTGCGAATACACTCGGGCACTATTATCCTGTTCTGCGCAGATGGCTAGTCTCCGTTGAGACTGGTTATCTGGTTAACATTTTATTAAAAGTCTAATTTTTTACCTTTTTGAGTGGACTAAGGAAAATCACAAGGACCATTCCTAAAAATAACCTATTTAATGAAAAACAATCATTAAAATCGGTTCACAAAAAAGGGCAAATTAAGATCTATAAAATGAGATTTTTTTATTTCGAAATTCTAATATTTGTAGGCTGGAACGTACCCGATGGACTCATAGGAATTCATTAATTAAGCTCGCTTTTCATTATGTGATATAATATAATATAATATATTACATCTTGAGATATAAATTAATATCGCTCACAATACTTTTAAATGGAACGGTTTACATTGAGCTATAATATATATTAAATCTCAAACTATAAATGTTTTTTAGATCGATTGAGCGATATTTTCATATTATATTTCGCCCTCTGTACCTCGCCCACCGTTCCGCGCCGCCGCAGAACGGTGTGCGGGGTCAAGGGTGTAATCTAATGACGAACGCACACTGGTTAAAAGATACGTATCACAGTGTGAAAACCAATCGCGGGATATAATTTATATTTCGGGATATAATATATATTATATCCCATAGTGAAAAGCCAGCTTCAGAGATATATCTTTTAACCAGTGTGCGTTAAATATCGCTCAGTCGGCTCGGCTCGAGAGATGTAATATATATTATAGCTCAATGTAAACGGTTCCATTTAAATGTATGGTGAGCGATATTAATTTATATCTCGAGATGTAATACAATATATTATAATATTATATCCCATAGTGAAAAGCAGGCTTTAATTTGGTATAAAATCTGGTCACTCTGGTATGATGGCTTGTCAGTTTTCACTTGTCAGTGGAGTTTTGGCGGGAACTTGACAGGCGGCGGTTTGCTGCTCCTGTATTATAGTTTAAATAATAATTTGAAGTGGTATTTCATATGTAAAAGTAATGCGATGTTATGTATTAACTGTCTATGCATGTAGAACTATTAGTAGAAACGGTGAAACAAGTGCTCTGATGGTGATGGATTCTCAAGATAAGCTGTTTGTTTGCATAGGCGCTTTTAGATACCATCACCAACTGTCAGCTGTCTGCTGGCTCAAGTTGCCGTCTAAATCTCCCAAGGGCTGCACAATGTGACGCATCAACATATTGTGAAGCAGTGAAATTCTATATACTCAAATTAAAAAAGACAAGGCTGTATGGCATAGTTCCTTTGCCTGCTCTTTCGAGCGAATAAAACAACTGACAATTGTCAGTGTCAGAATATATAATGTACTCATAGACATAAAGACTTATTACATTACACGATTTATCGGGCCCTGTCTATCGTGTGCCCTGCCTACCAGACAGGGCGCTGCTTATTACACTACGCTAGAAATCGCTTCCTGCCTCAGTTGTTACTCGAACGTGGAAATGATTGCACGTCTAGCATTATGGCGCAGACTTATGGAGTGTAGAGTAGAAGGAGGACCATCTCTGTATATGAAAAGTGTCCCTAAAAACGCGTCCAATAAGGGTGGCGCTGCAGTAGCATAGGATAAATTTAAAAAAAGCGCCAAAATTTATTAGAATAAGATGGAGAAATAAACAAGGACCGACCAATCCGCTTGGTTTTGTACTACGTAAATAGTTGAGGATTTGTATACTGGCATTTTACTAACTACTCTAGTCATGAAATTTTTTAAATATTTTAATTCAGCTGACTTCACTCCGTCTACAACAGCTATATTCATATCGTAGTTTTTCAGACGCCAGCGCTATTGTGGTAGGTTTTGGAACCTCTATTTTCAGTATCTATATACACTTTTTCAACTTTCGCACCTTATAAGATGGTTCTCCTTACGCAGACTTTATATAAACGTCAAAAAATTGCTTTATTGTTTTTTTACGTGGTAGAGCCATGCTATAGCTATACTAGTAGTATAGTTGTAGCACGAATGGGTTGGCTTGACCGGGGAAGGACCACGCTCTCACAGAATACCAGCGTAAAATAGCAGCTTAACACTGCTGTGTTTCGTATGGTGAGAGAGAACCGGAGACCCTTTTTACTGGAAAAGAGGCATTCCATCTCGGTCCTCACGGGTGACAATGCATCTGCATTTTGATTCGCATACGAGGATAAATGTAGGTGTCTATGGGCCACAGCAACCACTTACCATCGGGTGGACTGTGTGCTCGTTTGTCACCCTATCCTATAAAAAAAAACTTTGGCTTGCGGTAACGTGCAAGGCCAAGCTAAAAAAAGGAAGGAAAGTTAAATGTGGATGAAAAAATATTTGCTCCTCAGAAAAACTATCGAATATGCAAATAGTCAGCGTTTTGGACCCAACAGACCTACGAAACTATTTTAAAGAGTAGTTGAAAACCAATTCGACAAGTTATTAAGCTTAGTAACGCCTTTAATAGAAAAAAAAGATACTTTAATGATTTCTTATATTTACGCGAACACTACACATTGAATAAAACTACTTGTATGGATTCTATCGCGTTTAATTTTTTTTATTAATTCCCGACGTTTCGGATGCTTTACAGCAACCAGTCCCCCGTGACCATGGGTGGTAAAGCAACAGAAACGTCGGGAATTAATAAAAAAAAATTAAACGCGATAGAATCCGTAAAAGAAGTTTTATTCAAAAGAATACTTTTTTAAGAGAGATTGGTTGTCACTTTACGATTTTGGCCACTGGAAACTCCTATCAAGATTTGATAAGGCATTTCTTTGCTGATGTCGATGACATTGAGAAGGATCTTTTTCTTTAGCGCATGACATAAATACGAGTAATGATTTAGAGAGTAGATCGACATAGTAGAACTTTAAATAAACAAACGTGTAGACTCTGCGCATGCGGCCACGCGACTGAGCTCCCTGCCTCCCTGTCTCTTATTACACTACACGATCCACAGCGCGGCAGGGAAGCAGGGCGGTCGGAACCACTCGGTCGCCCTGTTTAGGGACCCTGACTCCCTGTTTCTTATTACACTACCCTGTCCCTGCGGGCAGGGCCCGAGAAATCGTGTAATGTAATAAGCCTTATAGTTCCTCTATCTACGAATGTACTCTGTTCTAGGGATGGGCAAAGGGAAGAAATATATCGAATCTATATTTTTAAACATTATCGATATATATCGTGTGATAAATATCATTATATCGATATATCGTCATCAATTGAATGATGTGTAAAGATAAGGTCTAAAATTTTATCTACTGACGGTTGGACGACGAAAAAAACGATACAATATTTTAAAATATATCGAAATTGATACGAATTCGATACTCTAAAATAAATATCGATATATCGCGATTTAAAATATCGACGATATATATCGATATTTTTTGCTCAGGCCTACTCTGTTCTGTTGCCTCTGTTGTCAGAATTATTGGAAAATAGATCAGAGTACAAAATTATTCTTATTTTACTGGTTAAAAATAGATATTGTCTTTAATTAAAAATAATACATTATGCAATACAATACAACTCAAAGTTGTGAATTATAATATAAATACTCTTTGAATACAAGTACATCATAAGAGTAACATAAAACATGCAGAATACAGTGTACTTAGAAACGTTTACTTCTCCTGCAAATTATCAAGATTCACATAAAATTGATATTTCCTTGGAATCATTAGTATCTTACAGCATCTATAAATTTTGTTCTCCAGACGGCGTTGATATAAAATTTGTTTATAAAAATGGAACAATTGATAACGTGTCAGTCTTTACTCAACATTATGAAAATGTTAAAATATATAATGCGAATGATATACCATGGCAAGTACGGTCATGTAATTTTCCTGTAGTTAAATACGAAGACACCATTATATCAGGTCTTTGTGGGGTAGCTAGACACATTTGTAAATATAGATCCATGAAAAATTTGTCACATGAACATGAAGAAGGATTACTCGGTTTTAGAAAAAGCTGTCTACAAGCACCAAATGAAGTATCTATATGGACCAAATTTTGTGAAGTAGATATTATAAAAACAGTAAATAATATTTTAGGCTCAGACCAATTGCAAGAAATCCCTAAGAATTTAATTAGATTTGAAAACCATCTTAATAAACCAGTTAAACTACACAATATATACAAGATAGCGAGAGAATTAAAGAAAGAAAATATGAATTTAAATTCAAATGAAATTAAACAAGATACAAAAGAAATGTCTCAGAAAGAAAGAGTTTCTAAACCCCGTAAATGGAAATCAAACATAAAAAAATCACTTGAAATTGATTGTACTACAAAAATAGAAGAGCTCCATATAAGTCATAAGTTTGCAGAAGGGCCTTTTCTTACATTAGCTGATTTGATTCTCTTCATTTCTTATTATATCATTATTCAAAGTATAGGAACTACTTACTTTGAATCTCTCTTACCGTTAACATACAAATGGTTTGATAATATTGCCAATATTACAGAATTAAGGAATATATTAGATATTTTGCCAAAAGTTACAATAAAGCCTTTAAAAATAGATAATGTCATAGTTCCTACTATTGATGATGTAAGTTTATATAAATCTGATCCAAAGAGGCATAATCCGAAAAAGAGGTTATTTACCAAAGAATCTGATATAGAAAATGCTTTAAGTGCACTTCAGGATGGAATGGAGCTTAAAATTACTTATAATAAAATGAATTCTGGAATAAAATGGGATGACATCCCTAATGGTGCTAATCCTTGTGCTGGTCATTTACCAGATGATAGAATAGTGAGAAAATCTCAACAACTTGAAAATTTAGCTCTAGCTGTTTTAAATATAGCAAAGGATGGTGATTTAATTGTAGACTTCTGCAGTGGAAGCGGTCATTTGGGAATCCTTCTTGCTCATTTATTACCTAAATGTACAGTTATTCTTTTGGAAAACAAAGAGCAGTCTTTGTTAAGAGCAAGGGCGAGAGTACACGAGATGTGTTTAAAAAATGTGCTTCTCTTTCAATGTAATTTAGACTTTTTTGTGGGTAAATTTGATATTGGTATTGCTTTACATGCTTGTGGAGTGGCTAGTGATTTGGTTTTAGACAAATGTTTGAAGGCAAATGCAAAGTTTGTCCTCTGCCCTTGCTGTTATGGCTCTCTCCATGCAACGGATAGACTTACATATCCAAGAAGTGCTAAATTTAGCAGCATTAATATTGATCAATATTTGTGTATTGGGCATGCCGCAGATCAAACACACAAGGATCATCACTTGGCAGAAAGAGGAGCAAAATGTATGGCGGTTATTGATTCCGATCGTGCTAGATTAGCAGAGGAATTTGGTTACAGAGTAACTTTATCAAGACTTACACCTTTATCTTGTACACCTAAAAATAACTTGCTTATTGGTATCCCATGCTAGTTTTCAATAAAAAAAAAACATTATTTTGATAGACAATTTATTTAATTTTTTTATGAATAATCTTAATACATTTATTATTACAATTACATTATTTACATCATACAAAATAAATGAAGAACAAGTTTAAAATTAGCTTTTATATTTGTAAAGCAAATAAAGCAAACAAATATTGCACAAATTATTTAACTAATGATTAACATTAACATGAGATAAAATATTAATTGAGCAGTAAGTATGATAAGTAGCACAACTAATCACTTCTTGCATACACAATTGCAGTACGGCATGGGATGTATACCTAAAACAAAAATGAATCTAAATTTCAATAACACCATGTGTAATTAAAATGATATCTTACAAATATTGTAGCCCTTATCTTACATATCAACTTCAATTGGCAACAACTTCTGAATAGACTCCACTTATTAGCTGCACCAGACATAAAATACTGTATGTACAAACTGCTGGCCTCATCTACCAATATTTTGGTATGGTTGGAGTTTGGAAGTAGGTCAAAATTGAACATGACCTGTGGCAAATTAGCTATAATTTCTTATTAATAAATGTTATTCACACACTTGCAATTTCCTTCCATGTTGTGAATACATTTAACATACATATAAATTACATTAACATTCAGAACCAGCACAATTATTTGTAGACACCATATAAAACTTGTCTTATGCAGGAATTGAATCTGCTAAATTGTAGCTAAATGTCTAAAACTACTACTATAACAATGCATGTTTCTATCATAGTAATGTTTAAAATGTATTATGTAAATGAGGATATCTGCAGTAGAACCAGAGTGACCGACATAGCCAAATGGATTAGCTAAAGTGGCAATGGGCTGGCCATATAGCTCGAAGAACCGACAACCGAAGGGGAAGAAAGGTTATCGAGTGGCAGCCTCCAGTAGGCAGAGCGTAAGATGGCCTGGTAAGTTATGCAGGTGTTCAGGACCGAGCTTTGTGGCCATCCTTGGGGGAGGCCTATGTTCAGCAGTGGACTTGTGAAGAGCTGTAATAATGATGATGATCATAGTAAAATCAAAATGGACAACCACATTCACTATGTAACCAGTATTACCTGTATTGAGTCACTGCGGTTGCCCCAAGGCATATTCTGTGTTAAATGAAACTCGCCCTCAGGTTCCACGCGTCCAAACCCTCCATACTTTTTACTATCCGAACATAGAACGGCCTGAAACATATTAATAGCAATAAATTCATTACATATTATTCTTATATTGTTATTTCTTCAAATTACATTTTCGAGTCCTATAAATAACTATCTATTATAGGTGGAATATTTTCAGTTTAAACTATTGAACAACGATTCTATTTTGAGGTTCAACCTCAAAATGATTGTCGATATATAAGCAGTTTGACGTACTCAGATTATATATTAAAAGATACACGCCAGATCAAGTAGCAAAACAAACTCACCATTATCAATACATAACACATATATATATACCTATATATATATATATATATATATATATATATATATATATATATATATATATATATATATATATATATATATATATATATATATATATATATATCATGTATATATCATATATGTCATATATAGAAAGATGACCTTATCACAAAAATTGATAAGGGCGTGCTTCGGTGGTTTGGGCACGTTGAGCGAATGAGTGAAGACCGAATGGTGAAGAAAATATATAGCGCGAAAGTTAATATTAAAAGGTGTCGAGGTAGACCGAGACTAACTTTCGAAGACCATGTGAGCAAATTGCTCGAAGAGGGTAGGGTCAAGAGTACTCGGATACCTAGACGTGCATGCATGAAGAAGATAATGAATCTGAAAGAAGCGAAAGAGGTTTGTAAGGATCGTGACACTTGGCGATCTGTTCTCTCTGGCTACCCCGTCAGGGATTGTGCGTGAAGATAAGTAAGTATATATATATATATATAGTTATTTATTTATATATATATATATATATGTGTGTGTGTTATGTATTGATATATATATATATATATATATATATATATGTATAATATATATATATATATATATATATATATATATATATATATACTTATCTTCACGCACAATCCCTGACGGGGTAGCCAGAGAGAACAGATCGCCAAGTGTCACGATCCTTACAAACCTCTTTCGCTTCTTTCAGATTCATTATCTTCTTCATGCATGCACGTCTAGGTATCCGAGTACTCTTGACCCTACCCTCTTCGAGCAATTTGCTCACATGGTCTTCGAAAGTTAGTCTCGGTCTACCTCGACACCTTTTAATATTAACTTTCGCGCTATATATTTTCTTCACCATTCGGTCTTCACTCATTCGCTCAACGTGCCCAAACCACCGAAGCACGCCCTTATCAATTTTTGTGATAAGGTCATCTTTCTATATATATATAGACATAGTTCATAGTAACTCAACTACTTATTACAACATGTGGCGGGTGGAAGGAAAAGGGGAGATCTCCCGCCGGGCAAGGTGTTCTGCCCGGGGAGCGGCCTACGCTCCGATTGGTAATTCGGAGCTATTCTATATATGCTGCTTTTAACTTCGGAACTTTGTTAGTGCGATTTAGGCTTCGATGTGTTTCGCTTGTGGCGCGACGACAGCGCCGCCACAAACTCACCAGTTACCATTACAGCTTATTAAAGTCCACTGTTGAGCATAGGCCTCCCCCATAGATTGCCTCGTAGGGGGGATATTTGCAATAGTTGCCACGCTTGGCAAGCGGGTTGGTAACTGCAGTGTTTTATTTTAAATCGTTATTAAGAATATGCTGCCCATCTCCTCATTTGTTATTCTCTGTCACCTCTTACGACACCCACGGGATGATATGGGATACTAGTTACGTATCCAAATCTGATAAACTATGTTGCGTACTTTTATCATGAATCATGATCACTTATATATTAATCATATGTTAATCTATATTTACTATGATAAAACTAACACAACGTCTGCCCGAAGACACATCACGGAAAAACCTGTGAACCGATATGGATGGGGCTTTCACTAGCAGAGAGCTGATATTATAAAGGAGTAACTTAGGCTACTTTTATTGTAGGGTTCCGCGCAAAAAAAAATTCCACGCGGGTGAAGTCGCGAGTAATTTAATATTATTGCTTTCAATCAATCAATACTGTCATAAATAACTTTATACTACACCCTTCAATCACTGTTATAATACTTTTTCATCAGCTCGTAAGTTTTTAGAGGGGATTTACCTTGATTCGTCACGCTTGGTAGGCAGAGTTACGATCGCAGCGCCAGACGTCTCGCAAGTTTGATGCTGCCGCCGTCGCCGGTCTGGTCAAGGTTTGGGTGTTTTACGTCTGACGCAAACATAATGTTTATATCGCCATGTATCTAGCCATAACATTTTTTTAATATTTCCCACGGTCGCCCTTTTAGAGTACTTTACACTGGCGATTAATGAATAATTCTGCAACACCTATGGGACGAAATCTTCAACATTAATACTAAGTTATCACAACACCGCCATACCGTTACCGTTCGTGTGGTGGCGGCGGAGAACATCATTCGCTTCAGATCGTCGATTAAAGCCAAAAGATGTTGAGTTCGGTTTCTGATATTCCTAGAAGAAGTGATTGTTTACTATTTGTCTCCCGATGACTTTGACGGGTAAAGTTAATAAGATATGTACATTGTGCAGCGCCGGTAACGAGGAACAGCGCCAATGGTTCAAGACATTGGTACTACAATTGCCAATCTTATTATGATAAATCATAGACGTATACAAAAAGAAAATTATTATAAAAATAACTTTTTTATACGTCCATGTGACAAATCTTAAATAAACACAACGCTAGATGATGACTGCAAGATTTTAATAGAAAATTACAGATTACATACATAACGTAGTGTGTTGGTTATAAACTTATAAAACTAAAAGATCGATAGTATTACCTGGTATTTTCCCGACACATTGACCCCAACTCTGTAGTCCGTGAAGCTCTGGTTTGGATGGAAGTTGAAGACAAACAACAGGCCAGCTCTCTCGAATGCTATTACCTTGTCACCTTCATGCTTGCATGACACATACGCCTGAATAAAAAAAACTAGCTCAAACAAAATATTCTATTTTGTTGAATCTAAACACATAAATAAAAATATATAAGTGTTTGTTTGTTCAAAATAATTATCCCAAAGTTCCTCAAAGATTTCTTTAGCACGACGTTACATTCGAATACGCGCATTTTTCAGCAACGCGTGGCTCAAAAAATTAAAGTTAAGAACAAGAAAATAACTAATGTACCTAAGTTTAAAGTTTACCGTTCTTTAAATTTGTAATATTATGTTAGAAATATAATGTTGATTATGAATAAAATGATTATAGTAGATGAATTTCACAGTGGAAACTCTGCTGCGTACTATAAATGCAGCACGAAGGTTTCGGTTCGACCGGGGAAGAACCACGCTCTCACAGAATACCAGCGTAAAATAGCAGCTTAACACTGCTGTGTTTCGTATGGTGAGTGTAGAGAACGGGAGACCCTTTTTACTGGAAAAGAGGCATTCCATCATAGTCATCAAGGCCGACAACGCATCTGCATGTTAATTCGAAAACGAAGATAGATGTAGATGTCTATGGGCACAGCAACCACTTATCATCAGGTGGACTGTGTGCCCGTTTGTCACCCTATTTCTATAAAAAAAAAAGACAAAAAATGATTAAACAAACAGTCTAATCTGTGGGGTTAGCCAGAGTGATTTTGTACAATCGTTAACTAAACGCAAACTCCAAGAGATCGGATTTGGACCCAATATCAAAGATCAAAGACAGTTTTGTAATTGAATAATTTCTTCCAATTAAAAAAAATGTAGTTAGTAGTACTAACCGGATCAGATCTCAACCATCCATGTTTCTCTTCCAAATTGTTCATGTCGCGGTCAAAGTCGTTAAGAAACTTATATTTGAGGAGGGGATCGTCGACGAGATGCCATTGGCGACGCGCGTAGTGATACG